AATGAATGCAACCCACTTAGCATGTCGTTTGCTTAGACGGTTTTGCGATTTAAGATGCTTTAGAGATTCATGATCTGTATGAATTATAAACTCCTTAGCCAACAAATAATGTTGCCAAGTCTCTAATGCACGAACCACAGCATAGAGTTCCTTGTCATAAGTAGGATAATTAAGACAAGCTCCATTTAACTTTTCACTAAAGAAAGCTATAGCACGTTTATCTTGCATTAAAACAGCACCAATACCAATACCAGAAGCATCACATTCTAACTCAAATGTCTTGTTAAAATCAGGTAATGCTAAAACAGGGGCACTAGAAAGGTCTCGTTTTAAGTCATTAAAAGCTTTCTCTTGGGCTGGTCCCCAAACAAATTTAACTTCCTTTTTAACCAACTCATTTAAAGGGGCAGCTTTAGTCGAAAAATCTTTAACAAACCTTCTATAAAAACTAGCCAAACCATGAAAAGATCTCAATTGTGTCACAGTAGTTGGTGTAGGCCAATCCTTAATAGCTTGTATTTTAGATTCATCAACATGAATTCCTTTTGCACTAACAATGAATCCAAGAAACACAACTTCATTTACACAAATGAACATTTAGGCATGTTAGCATAAAGTTTCTCTTCTCTCAATGTTTGCAAAACAATTCTCACATGTTCAACATGTTCTTGTAAATTTTTAGAATACACTAAGATATCATCAAAATATACAACAACAAACTTACCAATATAATGCCTCAAAACATGATTCATTAATCTCATGAAAGTACTAGGAGCATTAGTTAACCCAAAAGGCATCACTAACCACTCATATAAACCAAATTTTGTTTTGAAAGCAGTTTTCCATTCATCTCCTTGTCTAACTCTTATTTGATGGTAGCCAGATTTTAAATCCACTTTAGAAAAGATAGTAGCACCATAAAGATCTTCAAGCATATCATCTAATCTAGGGATTGGATGTCTATACTTAATAGTAGCACGACAATCTATGCACATACGCCACGTACCATCTTTCTTAGGCACAAGTAAAACAGGAACAGCACAAGGGCTGAGAGATTCTCGAATTTGACCTTTAGCAAGGAGTTCTTCAACTTGCTTTTGTAGTTCCTTTGTTTCCTCAGGATTTGCTCTATATGCAGGTCTATTCGGAATGACTGCGCCAGGAATTAGATCAATTTGATGTTCTATTCCTCGTATAGGAGGAAGTTCATTAGGCAACTCCTCAGGGAATATATCCTCGTACTCTTGAAGTAGCCTTTGAAACACCTTAGGCAAATTGCTAGGAACTTCGGTTAGCAAAACAGAATTATCACGAAAAAGCATTAAAATCATACCTGTTCCTTTTGCAAAACACTTCTCCACTGATTTGGGACTAGCGAAGAAATTGTTGCCCACTGGTTCTCGAATTTGTAATTCATTTGAAGATCTCTTTGGAACGTCCAAAGTAGATTCATCATTAGGACTCTGCTCTTTCATTCGTTTCTCTCTTTCTCGCATCATTCTCAGATTACATTCTTGAACTTGAGGAGGTGAAAAAGGTTTCAGGGTATAGCTATGACCATTCATTACAAACGAATACTTGTTTGTGTATCCATCATGCTTTACTCTTCGATCATACCCCCATGGTCGTCCTAAAAGTAGGTGGCTTGCCTCCATAGGTACCACATCACAAAGTACTTCATCCTCATATTTTCCAATAGAGATTGGCACATTCACTTGCCTAGTGACTCTAAGATTGCCACAATCATTCAACCATTGCAACCGATAGGGTGTCGGATGCTTGATAGTAGGTAACTTCAGATTATCTACAAGATATGAACTAGCAACATTAGTACACGATCCTGGATCTATAATAGTTAAGCATACCTTGTCCATAACTCGACACTTAGTATGGAAAATATTGTGTCTCTGCTGATCATCTTCAGCTACTTGAGTTTGTAATGCTCGAAGGTTGACAAACACTTGTCCAGCCTCAGCATCAATCTCTACAACTTCTTTTTCAACTTTCTCAACAAGTCTTGGCATCTCGTCATCTTCTTCATCTGTTTCACTTTCGAAACTTCCATCCTCTTTAAGGATCATAGTCTTTAAAGTTGGACAAGCAGAAGCTATATGTCCTCGTCCCTGACATTTGAAACAAGTAACATCTCTAGTTCTGACTTTGTTAGTATTACTAGATGAAGTAGAATTCTTAACATTAGAAGATGGTTTAGGAATATTAGAAGTATTAGAAGCATTAGAACTACTTCCCTTCTCAATCTTTGACGAATTACCATACTTCTTTGAATCATCTTTCTTCCATGGTGTAGAAGACTTATGTGAATCTGACTTCTTCTTTGCCAATTGTCTCTCCACGATCCTAGCTTTGTGTAACATCTCAGTTGGATCTAGGTAGTGTGAAAGTTCCACAACATCGGCAATGTTTTTGTTAAGTCCTCCTAGAAACCTCGCCATCATAGCTTCAGGTTCCTATTTAATATTTGCACGTATCAATGCCAACTCTAACTCTTGATAGTACTCATCAATGAGACTTGGTTCCTGTGAAAGACTTTGAATTTGTTTACACAAATCTCGATAATAATAAGAGGGAACAAACCTTTTGCGCATGAGTCTTTTCATTTCATCCCATGTGGATACGGGATCCTCATCATAGAGCTTCCTATCCTTGACAACTTGGTCCCACCATTCTGAAGCATAGTTATTGAATTGGTAAACGGCCATTCTAATCTTCTTAGAATCATCATAATCCTGCAATGAAAAAGCACGCTCTACCTTCTTTTCCCATGTAAGATAGGCTTCAGGGTCATTAGTACCACTAAATTCAGGAATTTTAACTTTGAAATTACCAAGTTCATAAGGATCATTTCTATTGACAACACGATGAGCTCTATTACGATTTTCATTACCTTCATTACCTTGAGCACGACCATTACGTACCTCTAGTTCTAGATCTTGTATCCTACTACATAATTGAGTAGTAACATTATACAATCTAGCAAGAGTTTCTCGCATAGCATCTTGAGAACGGTCGTCTCTTTGTTCACTATCATCTCAAGATGACATCCTTTAAGATCAAAGAACAAACGAATATATAGGATGTTAGTAGAAAACGTTCCTACCTCACTTCCCCTAACCAATGATCTTTTACTTTTCCCCCCTTTTGGTAGTATCACACACAACTCACCTTTTGTATGCTCTCTTTGGGATTTATTTGGCTTTTTCCCCAATATCAAAGTGGAATAGAAAGAAAACACTCAAGCCTTTTACCACTCAAAGACCTTTGGTAAAGTTCCAGATCGGCTTCAATGTTCAAGTAGTAGCAGTATGCACCACAACAATTAATTAAACAATCCACTCGAATAAAACACTCAAAAGTAGACAAAATCAAATAGCACGTAGAGTAAATTTAGGGAAATTCCAGAAAAGAACGAGGGAGAACACGAATCTCGTTCGAGTGTTTGGAGAAAAAATAGGATCTCGCTTTAGAAGTATAAGCAAACTCAAATGATATCTCAGACTCCAACTCAAACTCAAACTCTTATAGGATAAGGATAAGATTTTATGATAATCTTATCTTATACAAGATAAGATAAGGATAAGTTTTAAAGAGAATCTTATCTTTACAAGATGAGATAAGGATAAGATTTTATCCAATAAGATAGGATAAGGATAAGGTTTATCCAAGAAGATAAGATTATGATAAAATTTTATCTTTTACAAGATAAGATAAGGATAAGATTTAAAGAGAATCTTATCTTTTATAAGATGAGATAAGGATAAGGTTTTATCCAATAAGATAGGATAAGGTTTTATCCAATAAGATAAGATTAGGATAAAATTTGAAGAGAATCTTATCTTTTGAGAGAATATAGGCAATTAAATAGCAAAGATAAACTCCCAATCAAACACAACTTTATCTAACCTTCTTAGATAGAGATAGACTTTGAATATACCTCTTCAAGAAGATTCTTTCCAACTTCACTTCCAACTCTTTTGAAATCTCCTAATGCAAGGCAACCTTTATGTAGCCAATCAAAGAAGACTCTTTTTTCTCTTTTTTTTTTCTCTGCCGTTTTCTTTTTTTTTTTTTTTTTTTGTACGGCTATGTTTTTTTTTTTTTTTTTTTTTGTAGGGGCGGCCGAGAACCCTAGACTCACACCAAAATTTTTTTTTTTTTTTGTACGGCCAAATCAAACAAACACCTTCAACACAAAAGCTCCTCCAACAATCAATGAATGAACATCAATCACCCTCAAGATATAGAGATCTTGGAACGAGAGATATATATCAATCACAATCACCAAAGTTTGCTATTGGATGATAACAAAACGAAAGGCACGAAACTAAAAGGAATTGTCCAAGTGGTGAACAACTCAAAACAAAATATTACGAATGCCCTCTTTGGGAGAGGAAAATTCAAGAGAGGAAGAAAACAAGAAGAACAAAAATCCGAATTTTGAGACCAATTATGGTAACCAAAGATGACTCTTGATATACCAAATTATGGCTCTAAATATGTCAACTATGGTAAAACCATAAGAAGGCTCTGAATACCAAAATTATGATAGCAATCCGTAACAAAACCAATCTTTAAGAAAAGATCAACTTTGCTAGTTCGGAATGTCAGAGATTTGTAGGCAGCGGAATTTGGAAATTCGGATTTAAATACTCTAGAACACACGAAAAAACAAAGAAAAGAAAAGATATTTGACCTCACGTGGATCAATTCACGAGTTCAATGGTAGAAAAACCCAAATCAAAAATGAAGAGAGCTAATTCTAACCAAGCAGAGACCCTTTTGAAAATTGTGTAAGAAAACCCAATAGATATGAGATCTATGAGCCCAAATACGAAGATTCAAAAGATCCAATGCTATAGACGCCACTATCAAGCGAACTAAACAAGATAGATAAGTCTAACAATTGTCACAACACATATGCAACAATCAAACAAAGAAGTCCTCACAAGAACTCCACGAAAGGAATAAAATCCTAACCAATTTCACTCAGGAAAGGTGGCCGGCGGTCCCCTTGTGGATTGAGGGCCGAAATTCTTCTCTCCAAATGGACCATGTCCATTTGGTGTCACTTGCAGCAAATTAATAGTCTTGGGCTTGTAATCTTCAAGCTTAATTTCCTCCTTAGCCCATGTAGTAACAATTAGACTATTAAGTGATTCATTCATCCTCTTGCGTCTAGCACGAGTCATTGGTCCAACAATGTTTGAAAGTAGATCACGAATGTAAGGATTATTCTTTAAAGCAGCATCTTTAGATCCTCCATTAGCATTCACGTCCTCAACTTGCTCGTCTTCTCCATTATTGGCAGCAACTTGTCCCTCTTCATTAGTGTTAGCTAGATGGTCTCCATCAAAGAGACTCAAGAAAGGTAGGAGCAAACAATGCTCAACTATGAAGGAATGCTATTGATTAGTAATCTTCATAACCAACCAAAGATATGCAACACATACACTATCTCAAAATGCTTATGCCAAAGCACAACTCATCCAACAAAAGTAGGACAAACCCCACAATGGATCTCATGAACACACCCCACCATGAATTCGAACACCAAGCCAAAAGAAAGGCTCATCAATCGAACTACTAGAAGTAGTATAAAAATAAGAAGTTTGTTTTAAAACAATTCTATCAAGAAGCATACTTGAAAAAGAACGGTTTCTGCAAGATCAAAAAGATCCAAGACAAGATGAAAACCCTCTTGGTTGTATCATACTTGACACGAAAAATGGACACTCCATTTAACAAAAATTCCTCACAGGAAAAATTCTCAAAAGAGACAACAAAAATGACTACTCAAGGGTGCCTAAACAATTCGGCCAAGCCTCCTATTTATAGGCTTATAATTTTCGGCCAGCACCACTAAAAGAAGACCAATTAGGACTCTCTAATTTTATCTCACAAGGAGTAGAAGTAGAAGAGTACTTGAGCTCTTTGACTCTATCTAAAATCTAGGAAACCTTATCTAAATGACTCTTCACTAGCTTGATCAATGATCTTCATGGAGCACCTAGAATCAAACACTCTTGATACTCTTCAGCACTTATTTCCATGAGGTCATCATCTCCTTTGGTTTGAACCCCAAAGTTAATGACATTTCCATCAACTTGATCATAGCTCTCTTGAACCAACTCCCTATCACATAGATAGTCAAGATCCATCCTTTCTTCCTTGATTGGCCTGCAAAGTAAACTTGGAACCAAAACTAGAATGAAGGACTAGCTCATTCTCCTCACTAGGAGAATCACCATGGAAGGCTACATGATTCTCATCATCCCCTCCTTCTTTAAGAGGATGCGTCCTCGAATCATCAACCTCTATACCTGCACAAGGAACAAACGAGATATAAGGGTTAGTAAAATCCTCACCCTCACCACACTCTGATTTTCTCTCATGGCGTGCATTTTTTTTCTATTTCTACGCAATTTTCATGGTTTTCTCTCGCATCAAGTCTTACCTCATCGTGACCCTTTTTACTTTCTTGTGTCACTCTCTTAACTTTTTCTCTCCCATGTGTATAGGTTATCTTACGTCTTTTCTCTTGCACAGACTCAGATTCTTCATAAGCCAAAGGCTTAAGAATATATTTTCTGTTCTCTTTAGTAAAGACAAAGATATTCTTGGAGCAATGGTGCACAGCATCTACATCTGACTGCCAAGGCCTACCTAACAAAATATCACAAAGTAAATTTCATCCCTATACTCACCAATCTGAAAAGATACCATGGCCTTCTTAGTGACATCCACAACCATCTCTTCACTCAACCATTGAAGCTTGTATGGTCTAGTATGTGGATCCATCTGGACTCCGTTTGCTATGCAAAATTCCTCACTTATACAATAAGTACTCGACCCACCGTCGATTACCAAATCAACTTCATTGGACCGCCCAACCGAACACTTAGTACGGAAGATACAAGTTCGTTGATCACCATCTTCAGCGCCAAACACCAACCCCTGATCCTCAATTGGACCATTCCAACCACAAGAAGTATCATGCTCTCTTTCCACTTCTAAGGCAGTATAGTATGCCTCATAGAGCCTTGATTGCCTCCTTATCTTAGGATTTAGTTTGAACCTCTTGTCCAAGCCATAGTGAAAACGATCTGTCAACATGTAGTCGTTCTCAACCACTCCTGAACTCAGAAAAAACCCTTCTAATTCCTCAAAGTAAGATTGAATGGATCTACCATTCTGCTTACAATTGAGCAACTTCACTTTTGCTTCATCAAAGGTAACGTACCAGCATATCTTTCTCGCAAAGCATTTCTTAATCATGCCAATCATCTGAATTACGATACCAATGATGCGAATAGATATTTGAAACTAGCTTCCACCAATTCAAAGCACTAGAATGAAAACAACCTATGGCTAAGGTTATTTTCTCACTCTCTTTCTCTATGTTAAGCAACACAAACAAATTCTCTATGCTCTTTTCCCAAGTATCATATTCTCTATGACAACCATAAAACAAAGACAATGACATTTGCAACATTCCAGCATACGAGGGTACTTGTTTTACTTCAAAACGATCACCTAAGACTCGTAAATTTTCAGCAATTTTCTCAAAACTTACCATAGATTTATCTTGCCGATTTGAAAGCAATTGAGACAAGTCTCGGTTTGCCTCCTTAACCTCGGCCAAAGCATCATGTAAGAAGTCAATTTGACTCTTCATGAGCTGTACTTGAGCCTCCATGCAACCCTCTACACTCTTTGAAGTAACTTGAGTACAACCAGCAACTCCGGATAACATCTTTGCTCAACAATTTTGAGAAACCACCAACAAAAGAAGTAATGTGCCTTGGTTACTACACAAAAACTCCTTGAACCCTAGAACCACTGTTTGGTTCGGCTGAAACCCCCCAAGAACCAAAGGAAGGTTCGAATAAAGCTCTCCCCAAAAACAAAAACTCTCTTGTGCTTTTAAGAACACAACTCTCAAAATTTCAGAATTAAAGAGAAGAGTGCTTCTCTTGTTCTTTTCTCTTTTGATCTCGGCAGCAAGAAAGAAGAAGAAGATTGGAGACGTGAGAATTTTCGAAAAACAGCACCTCTATTTATAGGTAATGCAAGTCTTTTTGTTCAAGAAAACTCCTACAAGATAGGACCTAAATTTTCTCAAAAATATTCCCCTCTTTAAGAGATAAAATTCAGTTGAAAATATGGAATAAAGAAGAAGAAAAACTGGCCTCATATATATAGACAAGGATAGAGTCCTAAAACTTATGTAAACATAATCATTTTTGGACACAAATTAGGAAAATTCATCCCTACTTATTAGAGATAAAATTTTCGACCCCCCTACTACTAAAAGGACTCAAATACACGGCCAAGTACATGCACACTTGTATTAGAAGATTCAAAAATTTTCAGATTAGGATAAGACATCCTTATCTCAATAGTTTTCGAAAATAGACTCACTTTAAAACTCTAATTAGAATCTCACTGAAATTATAATTTAACACATGCAAAAATTAGTATTTAAATCCAAGTAGGACTCAAATAAAACACACAATAAAATAGTATTACAATTAGGAAACAATGGCTGCAAATTTTCGGCCAATGTGAACACAAAAATCCAAAACCGAATAGGACTCAAATCATAACACAATTTGGACTCAATGACCTTAATTTTAGGGCTAAAATTTTTGGCCATGTGAACACACAAGTATTAGACCATATTGGTCTCCAAGTGTAACACAAATAGACAACCAAAATTCAAGTTCAACTAGGACTAGGAAACCCTAATTTTTAGCTTCACAATTTCACCTATAGTATGACTCTAAAATTCAAAACCAACTAGGCTTAGAATTCCACATAAATCACATGCACACACATGCAAAAAGTCAGCAAAAATTCGGCTATTAACCTTTTACCACATAGTTGAAATTTGAAAAATTACTTTTGACTCACTTAAAAAGGAAACTTGAAAATTACCACTTTCCAAAAATGGACAAAAACTTTTAGAATCTTTCTAAAAACCCTTTTCCAAATTGTACTTGGAATTAACAAAGATCACTTTTTACCAAAACAATCTATGGCAAATAAAGTAACAAGAACACCATAATTATAATGAAGTAGGAAATTAAAGTTCCTTTTTCAATTATGGCATTTGCTTCATAATACTCAATTTAACACAAATCATTCTTAAAACTCAATGACTCAACAATGCCATCTTCATAAGTGACCATTGAAAATCAAATTTTCCAACAACCAAATATGTAAACTTTAAGAATATATCTCAAAGCCTATTAGACTTCTTGTCATAAATAAGAAAATCTTTTTTTTTCTTGTAAAACTCCACTTAATTCTCGATTTAATTTTCGAAAATAAAGGTTTTGAACACAAGTCAAAGACTTCAACCCTTAAAGTTGGCACAATTCAACTTCAAAGACCTTTTAAACACTTTGATACAAAAAATTGATATCACTAAAATTCATTCCTCATCACTTGATAAAGAAAGTTTTGAAACTTAGTTAAGAATCAAGAAAAATCCAATGATAGGAAGATCCACTAATTCGACTCAATCTCAAAGTATTAAACTCGAGAAAGACAAAAGACCAACATTGTTACTTTTGAAAAATCTTTTGACAATAAGATTTAAACAAAAACAAAGTAATCAACAAAATTCGGTCTCTATGGAATTCTCATTAATTGAAAATCCATAAATTCCATTTTACTCATTAGATTCAAATGAAACCAACAAGAAGGAAGACTTTTTTATTTATACTTTATGTAGAAAGTACAAAATCATTAAGCTTCACCTTTCAAAGAATAGATCCAAAATATTTACCACAAGATAAACTCTTAATCCCTTCTCATGTAAAGACATCTCTTTAAAAAGAAAAGGCTAAAGACACCACTATCAAGTGAATTAAACAAGATAGATAAGTCTAACAATTGTCACAACACATATGCAACAACTAAACAAAGAAGTCCTCACAAGAACTCCACGAAAGGAATAAAATCCTAATAAATTTCACTCAGGAAAATATCAATGACTCAAGGTGTGTTGGACAAGAGAATTTCGATCCCTATTTATAGAGGGGGTGGCCGAAATTTCTTCCCTAGAAGTAGAGGAAGAACACAACTCTTCACCTCTATTCCTATCTCTAAGAATTTGAAATCAAATCAAGCTCTAAAGATTCCTAGTTATCTTAAGTGATAAGATAACGAACCTAGACACTTTTACTAGTCTTAAAACATTTAAGACTTGTAGGAATTAATTAAAACTCAAAATACAAAGAGATAATCTCTTAGAAAGATTCCTACGGATAGAATCTCCCTTGAGTTAAAACTCTATCATCATCTTCTTTGTAGAGTGAGCTTAGCCATCCTTCTTGACGTAGTCTTCATCCAACGGTTGAGTAGATTTCAAAAGTTGACTCCTTATTGTAAGAAACTCGAAAATAAAAAAAAAGGAATCATCTCAAATATTTTCCTTTAAAGAGATAAAGTCTGATTTTTCAAAGAGATAAAATTTGAATGATCTCACCCCTAAACTTTAGGGATCAATTCGACCAACTTGAGGAGTGTGGTCGGCGGTCTCTCCTTGGAATGAGGGCCGAAAATCCTTCTCTCCAAATGGGCCAAATCCATTTGGTGTCACTTGCAACAAATTAAAAGTCTTGGACTTGTAATCTTCAAGCTTAATTTCCTCCTTAGCCCATTTAGTAACAATTAGTGATGAGAATCATGTAGCCTTCCATGGAGGTTCTCCTAGTGAGGGGAATGAGTTAGTCCTTCATTCTAGATTTGGAATGCCAAGTTTACTTTGCAGGCCAATCAAGGAAGAAAGGATGGATCTTGACTACCTATGTGATAGGGAGTTGGTTCAAGAGAGCTATGATCAAGGTGATGAGAATGTCATTAACTTTGGGGTGCAAACCAAAGGAGATGAAGACCTCATGGAAATAAGTGCTGAAGAGTATCAAGAGAGTTTGACTCTGTGTGCTCCATGAAGATCATTGATCAAAGCTAGTGAGAAGAGTCATTTAGGTTCATGAGTGGACGGCCTATTTGATCCAAGTGTTCAAGATTGAGTCCATTGCTACACAATTGGATAGGGTGCAAACTATCTTAATTGTTTCAAGTGTTTTTCCATTCTTTTGGAGTCAATAAGGTGAATGCTACAAGTTTTGGAGTAAATTGGGGTTTCTACAACTTAAGGGGCGCAAGACCAATATTCCACTTTTGGAAGGGCGTTCAAGACATTTTACTTCAATAATTTGGAGCTGAATTTCGAGATTAGAGTTAGTCTAAGTCTAGGAGTCAATTTTTTCGAATTTTATCTAGTTAAATAAGTCATGTGGACTGAATTAAGCTAGAGTGTTTTGATTAGGAGTCTTAGATTCCTTCTAGATATTATCCTACTTGAGGATAAGTGATTTAGATAAGGTTTCCTAGATTTTAGATAGAGTCAAAGAGATCAAGTACTCTTCTACTTTTACTCCTTGTGAGATAAGATTAGAGAGTCCTAATTGGTCTTCTTTTAGAGGTGCTGGCAGAAAATTCAAGCCTATATATAGGAGGCTTGGCCGAATTTTAGAAGCACCCTTGAGTGGTCATTTTTGTTGTCTCTTTTGAGAGTTTTTCCTGTGAGGAATTTTTGTTAAATGGAGTGTCCATTTTTCGTGTCAAGTATGTTTAAACCAAGAGGGTTTTCATCTTGTCTTGGATCTTGTTGATCTTGCAGAAACCATTCTTTTTCAAGTATGCTTCTTGATAGAATTGTTTTAAAACTAAACTTCTTATTTTCATACTACTTCTAGTAGTTCGATTGATGAGCCTTTCCTTTGGCTTGGTGTTCGAATTTCATGATGAGTGTGTTCATGAGATCCATTGTGGGGTTTGTCCTACTTTTGTTGGGATGAGTTGTGCTTTGGCAGAAGCATTTTGAGATAGTGTATGTGTTGCATATCTTTGGTTGGTTATGAAGATTACTAATTAATAGTATTTCTTCATAGTTGGGCATTGTTTGCTCCTACCTTTCTTGAGTCTCTTGATTAATGACTGATCGAGTATATTGAATGGTATCCTTGCTATTCTTAGCGTGGGTTGTTGTTTAATTCGAATCTTTCATGGATAATGTGTTCTTTGCTTGGTTTGAGTTAAGAGATAGAATCACTTAGATAAACGATCGTCTTACTGTGAATTTTCCGCACTCTTTTGAGTTTCACGGGATAGACAAAATTATCTTCGTACTTTCTTGTTGATGGTTGCATTAACGAAATTTGCTTCGTCTACGAGATTGCTATCAATGAAGGACTAGCTCATTCTCCTCACTAGGAGAATCACCATGGAAGGCTACATGATTCTCATCATCCCCTCCTTCTTTAAGAGGATTCGTCCTCGAATCATCAACCTCTATACCTGCACGAGGAACAAACGAGATATAAGGGTAGTAAAATCCTCACCCTCACCACACTCTGATTTTCTCTCATTGTGTGCATTTTTTTCTGTTTCCACGCTATTTTCATGGTTTTCTCTAGCCTCAAGTCTTACCTCAGCGTGACCCTTTTTACTTTCTTGCGTCACTCTCTCAACTTTTTCTCTCGCTTGTGTATAGGTTATCTTACATCTTTTCTCTCGTCCAGATTCAGATTCTTCATAAGCCAGAGGCTTAAGAATATATTTTGTGTCCGCTTTAGTAAAGACAAAGATATTCTTCGAGCAATGGTGCACAACATCTACATCTGACTGCCAAGGCCTACCTAACAAAATATCACAAAGAGACATAGGAATTACATCAAAGTAAATTTCATCCCTATACTCACCAATCTGAAAAGATACCATGGCCTTCTTAGTGACATCCATAACCATCTCTTCTCTCAACCATTGAAACTTGTATGGTCTAGTATGTGGATCCATCTTGACTCCGTTTGCTATGCAAAATTCCTCACTTATACAATCAGTACTCGACCCACCGTCGATTACCAAATCAACTTAATTGGACCACCCAACCTAACACTTAGTACGGAAGATACAAGTCCGTTGATCACCATCTTCAGCGCCAAACACCAACCCCTGATCCTCAATTGGACCATTCCAACCACAAGAAGTATCATGCTCTCTTCACACTTCTAAGGCAGTGTAGTATGCCTCATAGAGCCTTGATTGCCTCTTTATCTTAGGATTTTGTTTGAACCACTTATCCAAGCCATAGTGAAAATGATCTGTCAACATGTAGTCGTTCTCATCCACTCCTGAACTCAGAAACAACCCTTCCAATTCCTCAAAGTAAGATTGAATGGATCTACCATTCTGCTTACAGTTGAGCAACTTCACTTTTGCTTCATCAAAGGTGTTAGTACCAGCATATCTTTCTCGCAAAGCATTTCTCAAATCATGCCAATCATCTAAATTACGATACCAATGATGCGAATAGATATTTGAAACTAGCTTCCACCAATTCAAAGCACTAGAACAAAAACAACCTATAGCTAAGGCTATTTTCTCACTCTCTTTCTCTATGTTAAGCAACACAAACAAATTCTCTATGCTCTTTTCCCAAGTATCATATTCTCTATGACAACCATAAAACAAAGGCAATGACATTTGCAACATTCCAGCATACGAGGGTACTTGTTTTACTTCAAAACGATCACCTAAGACTCGTAAATTTTCAGCAATTTTCTCAAAACTTACCATAGCTTTACTTTGCTTATTTGAAAGCAATTGAGACAAGTCTCGGTTTGCCTTCTTAACCTCGGCCAAAGCATCATGTAAGAAGTCAATTTGACTCTTCATGAGCTGTACTTGAGCCTCCATGCGACCCTCTACACTCTTTGAAGTAACTTCAGTACAACCAGCAACTCCGGATGACATCTTTGCTTAACAATTCTGAGAAACCACCAACAAAAGAAGTAATGTGCCTTGGTTACTACACAAAAACTCCTTGAACCCTAGAACCACTGTTTGGTTCGGCCGAACCCCCCCCCCCCCAAAGAACCAAAGGAAGGTTCGAATAAAGCTCTCCCCAAAAACAAAAACTCTCTTGTGCTTTTAAGAACACAACTCTCAAAATTTCAGAATTAAAGAGAAGAGTGCTTCTCTTGTTCTTTTCTCTTTTGATCTCGGCAGCAAGAAGAAGAAGAAGATTGGAGTATAGTGAGGTGAGAATTTTCGAAAAACAACACCATTATTTATAGGTAATGCAAGTCTTTTTGTGCAAGAAAACTCCTACAAGATAGGACCTAAATTTTCTCAAAAATATTCCCCCCTTTAAGAGATAAAATTCAGTCGAAAATATGGAATAAAGAAGAAGAAAAACTGGCCTCATATATATAGACAAGGATAGAGTCCTAAAACTTATGTAAACATAATCCTTTTTGGACACAAATTAGGAAAATTCATCCCTACTTATTAGAGATAAAATTTTCGACCCCCCTACTACTAAAAGGACTCAAATACAAGGCCACACACATGCACACTTGTATTAGAAGACTCAAAATTTTCAGATTAGGATAAGACATCCTTATCTCAATAGTTTTCTAAAATAGACTCACTTTAAAACTCTAATTATAATCTCACTGAAATTATAATTTAACACATGCAAAAATTAGTATTTAAATCCAAGTAGGACTCAAATAAAACACACAATAAAATTGTATTACAATTAGGAAACAATGGCTGCAAATTTTTGGCCAATGTGAACACAAAAATCCAAAACTAAATAGGACTCAAATCATAACACAATTTGGACTCAATGACCTTAATTTTAGGGCTACAATTTTTGGCCATGTGAACACACAAGTACTATACCATATTGGTCTCCAAGTGTAACACAAATAGACAACCAAAATTCAAGTTCAACTAGGACTAAGAAACCCTAATTTTTAGCTTCACAATTTCGGCTATACTATGACTCTAAAATTCAAAACCAACTAGGCTTAGAATTCCACATAAATCACATGCACACACATGCCAAAAGTCAGTAAAAATTCGGCTATTAACCTTTTACCACATAGTTAAAATTTGAAAAATTACTTTTGACTCACTTAAAAAGAAAAGTTTAAAATTACCACTTTCCAAAAATGGACAAAAACTTTTAGAATCTTTCTAAAAACCCTTTTTCCAAATTGTACTTGGAATTATCAAAAATCACTTTTTACCAAAACAATCCATGGCAAATAAAGTAACAAGAACACCATAATTATAATGAAGTAGGAAATTAAAGTTCCTTTTTCAATTATGACATTTGCTTCATAATACGCAATTTAACATAAATCATTCTTAAAACTCAATGACTCAACAATGCCATCTTCATAAGTGACCATTGAAAATCAAATTTTCCAACAACCAAATATGTAAACTTTAAGAATATATCTCAAAGCCTATAAGATTTCTTGTCATAAATAAGAAAATCTTTTTTTTTTTGTAAAACTCCACTTAATTCTCGATTTAATTTTCGAAAATAAAGGTTTTGAACACAAGTAAAAGACTTCAACCCTTAAAGTTGGCACAATTCAACTTCAAAGACCTTTTAAACACTTTGATACAAAAAATTGATATCACTAAAATTCATTCCTCATCACTTGATAAAGAAAGTTTTGAAACTCAGTTAAGAATCAAGAAAAATCCAATGATAGGAAGATCCACTAATTCGACTCAATCTCAAAGTATTAAACTCGAGAAAAACAAAAGACCAACATTGTTACTTTTGAAAAATCTTTTGACACTAAGATTTAAACAAAAACAAAATAATCAACAAAATTCGGCCTCTATGGAATTCTCATTAATTGAAAATCCATAAATTCCATTTTACTCATTAGATTCAAATGAAACCAACAAGAAGGAAGGTTTTTTCATTTATACTTTATGTAGAAAGTACAAATCCAAGATATTTACCACAAGATAAACTCTTAAATCCTCCTCATGTAAAGACATCTCTTTAGAAAGAAAAGGCTATCCCGAGCAAGAAGCTCTTCTTTGGCATCAATTCTCTCCTTAAAGATCCAAAACATAAGATACACTAACTTGCTCATAGGAGAAACAGTTCTCTACTTGCAAATCAAGGATAAATTTCAAGATGTAGCGCCCACTTTGACTAGATACCAATGTACCATCATCAAGCTCTCACATAGACCCCAAAATAACACCACAAGATCAAACAAATGTGTAAGAAGTCTCGCGCAACCACACAAAAGACAAGATCAATTTTGAAAACATAGTTTTCACAAGAATTTGATTTATTTTTTAAAAACTCATTCTATAAGAAGAAGGAACCTTGAAACAAATAAAGATAGTACTACTTCGTTAGTAGCACAAAGCTTGATTACCACACCAAGTAACGGATTCCGTGGCAACTCAAGATATTCTCAAAACCAAGAACTATGAAGTCCTCAATCAAGAAGAAATCTCGCGAAAATCAAACTGATAATAGAAACTGATATGATAATATCAATTAATACCATCACTAAGATAGTCCAAGCTCTGATACCAAGAAACTGATAGCAATCTCGTAGACGAAGCAAATTTCGTTAATGCAACCATCAACAAGAAAGTACGAAGATAATTTTGTCTATCCCATGAAACTCAAAAGAGTGCGAAAAATTCACAGTAAGACGATCGTTTATCTAAGTGATTCTATCTCTTAACTCAAACCAAGCAAAGAACATATTATCTATGAAAGATTTGAATTAAACAACAACCCACGCTAAGAATAGCAAGGACACCATTCAATATACTCGATCAGTCATCATTCAAGAGACTCAAGAAAGGTAGGAGCAAACAATGCTCAACTATGAAGGAATACTATTGATTAGTAATCTTCATAACCAACCAAAGATATGCAACACATACACTATCTCAAAATGCTTATGCCAAAGCACAACTCATCCAACAAAAGTAGGACAAACCCCACAATGGATATCATGAACACACCCCACCATGAATACGAACAGCAAGCCAAAAGAAAGGCTCATCAATCGAACTACTAGAAATAGTATGAAAATAAGAAGTTTGTTTTAAAACAATTCTATCAAGAAGTATACTTGAAAAAGAACGGTTTCTGCAAGATCATAAAGATCCAAGACAAGATGAAAACCCTCTTGGTTATATCATACTTGACACGAAAAATGGACACTCCATTTAACAAAAATTTCTCACAGGAAAAACTCTCAAAAGAGACAACAAAAATGACCACTCAAGGGTGCCTAAACAATTCGGCCAAGCCTCCTATTTATAGGCTTATAATTTTCGGCCAGCACCAATAAAAGAAGACCAATTAGGACTCTCTAATCTTCTCTCACAAGGAGTAAAAGTAGAAGAGTACTTGATCTCTTTGACTCTATCTAAAATCTAGGAAACCTTATCTAAATGACTTATCCTTAAGTAGGATAATATCTAGAAGGAATCTAAGACTCCTAATTAAAGCACTCTAGCTTTATTCAGCACACATGGCTTATCTAACTAGATAAATTTTCGAAAATTGACTCCTAGACTTAGACTAACTCTAATCTCGAAATTCACCTCCAAATTGTTGAAGTAAAATGTCTTGAACGCCCTTCCAAAAGTGGAATATTGGTCTTGCACCCCTTAAGTTGTAGAAAACTCTAATTTACTCCAAAACTTGTAGAATTCCCTTTATTGACTCCAAAAGATTGGAAAAACACTTGAAACAATTAAGATAGTTTGCAACCTATCCAATTGTGTAGCAATGGACTCAATCTTGAACACTTTGATCAAATAGGCCGTCCATTCAAGAACCTAAATGACTCTTCTCACTAGCTTGATCAACGATCTTCATGGAGCACCTAGAATCAAACTCTCTTGATACTCTTCAGCACTTATTTCCATGATGTCATCATCTCCTTTGGTTTGAACCCCAAAGTTAATGACATTTCCATCAACTTGATCATAGCTCTCTTGAACCAACTCCCTATCACATAGGTAGTCAGGATCCATCCTTCTCTTCCTTGATTGGCCCGCAAAGTAAACTTGGCATTCCAAAACTAGAATGAAGGACTAGCTCATTCTCCTCACTCGGAGAATCACAATGGAAGGCTACATGATTCTCATCAGACGATCCCCATAGAGACAGAGTATAGCCATTCATAGCCATCTTCGAAGGAATTCAGCAGTACTTTGTCAACCCCCATAATACCTTTACACATCAGCTTAGTTTTAACAATAGCAGCATCATTCTTAATTTCAATTACAGCTACTGCTTCAGTAACATAAGACCTAGCAGCTCGTACCTCCTCTCCCGCTAAATTAAGGCTTGACTTCAAGCCAAGGAGGTGGAAAAATTTTAGAGTGTACCTTGTGTTTTGCAGTATTGGGAGCAGCCACACTACCATAAGAAGCAGTGCTAGGCAGAAACTCCAAACGCAACTCATCAATTTTAGAAGCATCACTCAGTTTCAAATGTATATGACTTCTTTCAGGCATATAATCAATAACATTATTCTTTGCAGCAAGAAACCGATCTAGATGCTCATTATCATCAACAGTACACACTACGATTCCCTTCACCAAATTCATCCCTTTTAAACTCTTATAAACTGCAGGCAGCTTAGTACAAATGGAAGAACTCAAAGACAAATCGAAACCAACATTAGTAACCACAGGTTCACAACTGGAAATAACATGTGTATTTTCAAAAAACATCTTCACAGCTTCATTCACTAATTTCAAAATGTTATCGTTTTTAGCACTTACCAACCCACCAGGATCAATCCAAAAGGAATTATGGCCAAATTCTCTAACCTGCATTTCTCCTTTTGAAAATATTTCACTGAAACATTTCAGCTGCAATATGCGATCACCATCATCAATAACAAAAGCATTTGAATGATTTCCCTTAGTAACAACACATAGCCATTCAGAACTACCTTCGAAAAAATTACCCTTAACACTTGACAACGAATCCTCGGCAATCACATTATCATTATGGTTGTACTTCCATTTAATCAAAGAAGCATTCATTTCATTCAACAGCAGAGAAGCATCATCACTCCTCAAAAACTCATCATCAGAATACATAAACTCTTCCACTCTAGCAACGTCAACGGGGATTTTGATTCCCCCCGGTTCAATATGAAATGAGTTTTCAATAACACGGAATTGCACAGCTTCATCAATAAAATGTTCATTTCCAATATCCCCATCCAAATACAGGTTTTCAGCAGCTAAATAATGACCAGCAACTTTGCAAATAGCGAAATCCAAAACAAACTTATCATTTTCTTTAGATAAACTTCTAGGAATGATAACCAAATGATTCCTATTGTCCGAGTTCACATTTAACTTTGTAGTTCCTCCTTTAAAGGCACTTACGGTTAATTCAAACTCTCCAATAGAATACTGATAAGCACTACGATTTTCACAAATGACTAAATCCAGAATTTTACAATCATCATTTTGCAAGATAGAATCATACTGAGCATCAGAAAACACAAAATCTTAAAGACTAGCAACCTCGACAGTGCATTCAATTCCCCCCGGTTCAACATGAAATGAGTCGGGGCCAAAACCTTTCCTGAATCGATTAAAATCAACATATGATTCGACATATACATCACCGACTTCCTTTAAATTCACAAAATCTCTTAAAATCAGTTCACCATCAAGATAAGAATCAAATTTGACCTCAACAATGTCAACTAAAGGCATCATACCAATAGATTCTTTCAAAACTCCACTCAAATCATCATTTGGCAATAATTGATCAATATTCGCAACATTCGCACAATTATTCCCCAATTTAACATTAACATCATCCGTCAAACATGCCTTATAAACAAATTCACCAAACATGCCTTATCAACAAATTCACCAATCATGTGATCCAAAGCCACAGAACAACCATTCATTTCCAAAAATTTAACAACGGAATCCACGGAATTAGTAACTTCTATACTCTGGACTGAGAAATTACCATTTACATCTGAAGTCTCAACAGAGACGTGAGCAGGAGAATAGACAGTACTCTTTTCATCTAGTGGTGCTTGCGTCTCTGATGAGAATCATGTAGCCTTCCATGGTGATTCTCCTAGTGAGGGGAATGAGCTAGTCCTTCATTCTAGTTTTGGAACGCAAAGTTTACTTTGCAGGCCAATCAAGGAAGAAAGGATGGATCTTGACTACCCATGTGATAAGGAGTTGGTTCAAGAGAGCTATGATCAAGTTGATGAGAATGTCATTAACTTTGGGGTTCAAACCAAAGGAGATGATGACATCATGGAAATAAGTGCTGAAGAGTATCAAGAGAGTTTGATTCTAGGTGCTCCATGAAGATCGTTGATCAAGCTAGTGAGAAGAGTCATTTAGGTTCTTGAATGGACGGCCTATTTGATCAAAGTGTTCAAGATTGAGTCCATTGCTACACAATTGGATAGGTTGCAAACTATCTTAATTGTTTCAAGTGTTTTTACAATCTTTTGGAGTCAATAAAGAGAATTCTACAAGTTTTGGAGTAAATTGGAGTTTTCTACAACTTAAGGGGCGCAAGACCAATATTCCACTTTTGGAAGGGCGTTTAACACATTTTACTTCAACAATTTGGGAGCTGATTTTCGAGCTTTAGTTGTTGTCTAAGTCTAGCAGTTATTTTCGAGTTTTATTTAGTTAGATAGGCCATGTGGGCTGAATAAAACTAGAGTATTTTGATTAGGAGTCTTAGATTCCTTCTAGATATTATCCTACTTGAGGATAAGTCATTTAGATTTGGTTTCCTAGATTTTAGATAGAGTCAAAGAGATCAAATACTCTTCTACTTCTACTCCTTGTGAGATAAGATTAGAGAATCATAATTGATCTTTTTTTAGTGGTCCTGGCCGAAATTCTAAGCCTATAAATAGGGGGCTTGGCCGAAATTTCAAAACACCCTTGAGTGGTCATTTTTGTTGTCTCTTTTGAGAGTTTTTCCTGTGAGGAATTTTTGTTAAATGGAATGTCCATTTTTCGTGTCAAGTATGATTTAACCAAGAGGGTTTTCATCTTGTCTTGGATCTTTTTGATCTTGCAGAAACCATTCTTTTTCAAGTATGCTTCTTGATAGAATTGTTTTAAAACAAAACTTCTTATTTTCATATTACTTCTAGTTGTTCGATTGATGAGCCTTTCTTTTGGCTTGGTGTTCGAATTTCATGATGAGTGTGTTGTAGAATGGGTTTGAAAAAATAAATCAAATTCTTGTGAAAACTACATTTTCAAAATTAATCTTGTCTTTTGTGTGGTTGTGCGAGACTTCTTACACATTTGTTTGATCTTGTGGTGTTATTTTGGGGTCTACGCGAGAGCTTGATGATGATACATTGGTATCTAGTCAAAGTGGACATCTTGAAATTTATCCTTGATTTGCAAGTAGAGAACTGTTTCTCCTATGAGCAAGTTAGTGGATCTTATGTGTTGGATCTTTAAGGAGAGAATTGATGCCAAAGAAGAGTTTCTTGCTCGAGATAGCCTTTTCTTTCTAAAGAGATGTCTTTACATGAGGAGGATTTAAGAGTTTATCTTGTGGTAAATATCTTGGATCTATTCTTTGAAAGGTAAAACTTAATGATTTTGTACTTTCTACATAAAGTATAAATGAAAAAGCCTTCCTTCTTGTTGGTTTCATTTGAACCTAATGAGTAAAATGGAATTTATGAATTTTCAATTAATGAGAATTTCATAGAGACCCGAATCTTTGTTGATTATTTTGTTTTTGTTTAAATCTTAGTGTCAAAAGATTTCTCAAAAGTAACAATGGTGGTCTTTTGTTTTTCTCGAGTTTAATACTTTGAGATTGAGTCAAATTAGTGGATCTTCCTATCATTGGACTTTCCAAGATTCTTAATTTGAGTTTCAAAACTTTCTTTATCATGTATGAGGAATGGATTTTAGTGATATCAATTTTCGGTATCAAAGTGTTTAAAGGTCTATGAAGTTTAGTTGTGCCAACTTTAAGGGTTGAAGTCTTTGACTTGTGTTCAAAACCTTGATTTTCAAAAATTGAATCGAGAATTAAGTCAATTTTTACTAAAAAGATTTCCTTATTTATGACAAGAAATCTTATAGGCTTTAGATATATTCTTGAAGTTTACATATTTGGTCTTTGGAAAATTTGATTTTCAATGGTCACTTATGAAGATGGCATTGTTGAGTCATTGAATTTTAAGAATGATTTGTGTTAAATTGAGTATTATGAAGCAAATGTCATAATTGAATGAACTTTAATTCCTACTTCATTATAATTATGGTGTTCTTGTTACTTTATTTGCCATAGATTGTTTTGGTAAAAAGTGATTTTTGTTAATTCCAAGTACAATTTGGAAAAGGGTTTTTAGAAAGATTCTAAAAGTTGTTGTCCATTTTTGGAAAGTGGTAGTTTTCAAGTTTCATTTTTAAGAGAGTCAAAAGTAATTTTTCAAATTTTTACTGTGGTAAAATGTTAATAGCCGAAATTTTGTTGACTTTTTGCTTGTGTGTGCATGTGATTTATGTGGAATTCTAAGCCCAGTTGGTTTTGAATTTTAGAGTCATAAGTATAGCCGAAATTGTGAAGCTAAAAATTAGGGTTTCCTAATCTTAGTTGAACTTGAATTTTGGTTGTCTATTTTGTGTTACACTTGGAGACCTATTTGGTCTTGTATTTGTGTGTTCACATTGCCGAAAATTTCAGCCCTAAAATTAAGGTCATTGAGTCCAAATCGTGTTATGATTTGAGTCCTATTCGGTTTTGGATTTTTGTGTTCACATTGGCCGAAAATTTGCAGCCATTGTTTCCTAATTGTAATATAATTTTATTGTGTGTTTTATTTGAGTCCTACTTGGATTTAAATATTAATTTTTGCATGTGTTAAATTATAATTTCAGTGAGATTATAATTAGAGTTTTAAAGTGAGTCTATTTTCAAAAACTATTGAGATAAGGAAGTCTTATCCTAATCTAAAAATTTTTTAGTCTTCTAATACAATTGTGCATGTGTGTGGCCGTATTTGAGTCCTTTTAGTAGTAGGGGGTCGAAAATTTTATCTCTAATAAGTAGGGATGAATTTTCCTAATTTGTGTCCAAAAAGGCTTATGTTTACCTAAGTTTTAGGACTCTATCCTTGTCTATATATATGAGGCCGGTTCTTCTTCTTCTTTATTCCATCTTGTCGAGTAGATTTAATCCATTAAAGGGGGGAAATGCTTTTGAGAAAATTTAGGTCCTATCTTGTAAGAGTTTTCTTGCACAAAAAGACTTGCATTACCTATAAATAGGGATGCTGTTTTTCAAAAATTCTCACACCACTCTACTCCATTCTTCTTCTTCTTCTTGCTGCCGAGATCACAAGGGTAAATTAAGAGGAGCATTCTTCTCTTTAATTCTGAAATTTTGAGAGTTAATGTTCTTAAAAGCATAAGAGAGTTTTTTTTTTTGGGGAGAGCTTTATTCGAACCTTCCTTTGGTTCTTGGGGGGGTTTCAGCCAAACCAAACTTTGGTTCTAGGGTTCAACGAGTTTATGTGTAGTACCAAAGGCACATTACTTCTTTGTTGGTGGTTTTTCAACTTTTTTGATTAATAATGAGTTCTGAAATTGCTGGTTGTTGTCAAACAGCAATAAAGGGTGTTGTTGCACAAGCTAAACCCATATATAAGGAGGCAATCAAGGCTCTATGAGGCATCCTATGCTGCCTTAGAAGTGGAGAGAAAGCATGATACTTCTTGTGGTTGGAATGGTCCAATTGAGGATCAGGGGTTGGTGTTTGGCGCTGAAGATGGTGATCAACGGACATGTATCTTCCGTACTAAGTGTTCGGTTGGGTGGTCCAATGAAGTTGATTTGGTAATCGACGGTGGGTCAAGTACTGATTGTATAATTGAGGAATTTTGCATAGCAAACGGAATCCAGATGGATCCACATACTAGACCATACAAGCTTCAATGGTTGAGTGAAGAGATGGTTGTGGATGTCACTAAGAAGGCCATGGTATCTTTTCAGATTGGTGAGTATAGAGATGAAATTTACTTTGATGTAATTCCTATGTCTCTTTGTGATATTTTGTTAGGTAGGCCTTGGCAGTCAGATATGCTGTGCACCATTGCTCGAAGAATATCTTTGTCTTTACTAAATAGGACAAAATATATTCTTAAGCCTTTGGCTTATGAAGAATCTGAATCTGTGCGAGAGAAAAGACGTAAGATAACCTATACACAAGGGAGAGAAAAAGTCGAGAGAGTGACACAAGAAAGTAAAAAGGGGTGTAAGACCAATATTCTACTTTTGGAAGGGCGTTCAAGACATTTTACTTCAACAATTTGGGAGCTGATTTTCGAGATTTAGTTGTTGTCTAAGTCTAGGAGTTATTTTCGAGTTTTATTTAGTTAGGTAGGGCCACTTTGTAGTGGCAAGAAACTCACTTCCTCTAGGGAAGTTCAAAATTTGCACCTGCAGTAGTTCTTGAGGAAGCTGAAGATGTCATTCACCTCAATGAGGTAGAAAAAGAATGTTCAGTGGATTCTAAGGGGCATTCCACAACATGACAAGGCTTGACAGAGGAGGCACAATCTCAATCTCCTCTGCCATAGTCTGCAGTTCCACCACCACTTTATTCACTAAGAGAAGTAGAAAGAAGACTTCAGAAGCAGCTATCACCATATTCATGAAAAATCTGGAAAGCTTCATATCAACATTCCATTGATTGATGCTCTTTAGCAAATGCCAAATTACTTCAAGCATTTGAAGGAGCTAGATTCAAGCAAGCCAAGCATTCATGATTCATCATTCATAACTTTGAATGAGGAGTGCAGTGCATCCATCCTGAAGAAAGCTGCCAGCAAAGCTCA